TGTGATGCATTGGAGGCACCCTATGCAGGGATAATCCCGCCTATGTTCCGTGGAGGAGAAGGACTTGAGCTTTAGCAATGTCTCGAATTGTGGAACTTGGACAGCCTCAAGTCTGAAACCCTAAACTCTAAGCAAGTCCAGAAACCCTGGACAGGCCAACCCGCGAACACTGGAATCCCTAAACTTCAAGCTCCATGGACTCCAAACTTCGATTCACAAAACCCCCAACGAAACCTCCCTCCTGTTTCTATCCGCCTTCGGCCGTGGTTGTGGATGCGCGGGAGCTTTGTTGGCTGCGCCCTTGGCATTTTGGTGAGTCTGAGGCTCGGGGCTGAAGTCTGAGGAATTTTTGCGTTGCGGGTTCAAGGTTTGAGAGAGCCATCGATTGCCGAAAGTTAACATTGAGCCACTCTGGTCCAGACATTTCTTGATCGAATGTTTCTGCGGCTCGAGGCCTGAACTTGACCACTGCGTTTCTGCCTCGGACAGGTACCGCTCCCAAAGATCGCGGAGAACGTGCGACCACAACGACGACGATGACGACGACGACTACTGCATGCTCATCCAAGGGCGGACGGGTCCAGCGCTTTGTTAAGCTAGCCTAACGCCTAAACTCCTAAACCAAAGAGGCCGAAACCAAAAAGCCAAAACCAAAAAACAAAACATCAAAAACAATATGTTGGAAGTCTTGCCAAATCACTACTCTGCAACTTTTCTGAAACACTGTTTTTGTGTTTTTTGTTTTTATGATTCTGTTTGTTTTTTGTTTTGTTTGTTTGGCTCTGTATTTTGGATATTATTTTTTGATTTTGGGGTATTGGTTTATGTGAGTTTTTTGTACTGCTTTATTTGGTTTTAGGAGTTCGGATTTCTGCGTCTTGTTTCTTGTGCTTGGATTGCGTTCTCATGCGATTTCGACTCTGATTGTCATGATTCGCTCGAACCATCCTAGTGTTGAAGCGCACTCTTGCGTCAATACCCACTCTTGAAAGCAATGTGGACTCGCCTCATTGAGCGCGCGACTAAGCTGCCTGATGAGATGATTGCAGAAATCTGGAGCTTCTCACTACGCACCTTGTCTTGTTGATAGGTTTTCTTCGTTCAAAGCACTTTTCGTACGTCTAAAAGTCTAAAAGCCTTTATTTCACGTGCGAAGGTATCGATGACGAAAATCTTGGACGAAGGAACTGACCTGAGCTGCTGCTCGCGCAAAGCCCCCCCGAGGTCAGTTTTTTTTCGCAACGCTGTTTTGCGCATTGAATCTCATTTTCGTGCGAACATTTTGGCTCGAATTGTGCTTGCAAGCGTGCGACACATTTCAGGCTAAGGCCTTGGCCACTGGCCAGGCCAAGAAGTCCTCACCATGAAGTGCCCTGCGGCCAAAAAATCGTGGTGGGGCAAACGGCGCATCATACAGCACGTGCGGCGAAAGGATTTTACCTTTAAGGGGGTCATTGCATTGCTCACTAAGAGAGCCCAAAGCGATGAGTATCCTCTGGGTATAGCATTCTCCTCGAAAGGTGTGCGCACGGTGCTCATGACGCGCGCCTCACAGGCACTGGTAGTGGTAGTGGACGATTGGATCATGCGACAAGACAATGCAACGTCGTGCAAGTACAATGCCGAACGGGAGCCCGACGATTCTTCCAGCAGATGCAATTGGAAGGTCTTGCAGCATGTTTGGCCGACATTCCGATTTGGAACGGAGCTGGGGACATTTCTTGCTGCAACAGATGCATTCGGGGGCCCGGGTACTTCAGACTCCGGCAAACATCCGGTCACAGGCGGCGTCAGAGACCACGATGTCAGGCATTGGCAGGTTCGCGATGCACCGGGATGTTTGCAGCGACTGGAGGTCAGCGATATCCTCGGCAGTGCAGAGGCGAAGCGTGATTTCGATGCCCCTGTTTCAAATTTTCGCTTCGCTGGAATCGCCCAGAAAAAGGAAAGCGACGAAACGGTCTGCTTAAAAGATCTTCTGAATCGTGTCAAAATTCAAGAACTCTTCCAACGTATCCGACAAAGTGGCTCGCAGATCGTGGAGGAGGCAAAGAACCCTGAAGGGGATCTTCCCGACGCACTATGAAGCACCAAACTCTGAAACCCGAACCCTGAACCCTACACCTCACTTGGATCATGCCTGTAGACGCCCAACCCCCCCTCCGGTCCCCTGCTCTGGCACATGAAACGTTACATACCCCCCCCTTCCCCCCCCCTCCCGTGCGGGGCGGGTGACTGGTCGTGCTGGCC